TGAAATTGGGCAATAGTACAATTCACACACAGATGAAAATGACTGTAAGATTCGAATAATGAATTCACATTATATATAATCTTTACCTGTCCACGCCTCAGATATTTGACTGTAAAAGTACGTGCTGTAAGCTCAGTCGAGCAGAGACATCGATTAGCTTCATAATTCACCGCAAGCGTATCTGTATCTGGAATTACAGTCTTTTTAATCCAATACATTTACGCAACGTCGTCCGCAGGCCCTTATTGTCCTCATTTCCAACTCGTACTCCGAACMTTCGTTTTTTCTTGATCAACGCCGTCGAGAAACACTTTGGTGTAGTAATCTGAGCATTAAAAGGTGTCTGGAGTGATTTTGAACACTTTGAAGMCTCGCWCCCWTCCRAGTGTRCATATACACCTGTTTCAAAAAYGTTGTCTGGGAGAACGGCAAACRGCGATAATTGTGGAAGAGAGAATGCACGACCTAAAAGGACTATGGTTACACTGTTTGACAAACAAAACCATTATTCACTTGTTGGATTCATCATACATAGAAATCGAGAGCTAATATTTGCCACAGACTATCGTAACAGTATAAATCAGTTATTATTATTCATCAATAAGAAAAAAACATTCACCATTTTACCCGANGACTTCATGTATTGTAAGATGGTCTGTCGTAAACAGTGGCTCCATTTAGCCTCAATTTCTATGTAAGGTGAATCCAATAGGTGAACGTGTAACTAAAGTCCCTTTCGGTCGTGCAATCTCCCTTCGACAATCGCCGTTCGCCGTTCTCCCCGACAACGTTTTTTGAAATAGCTGTATTTCGGGGAAAGTCCTAGACTGAAACTAATTAAAATTCAAAATTACTAACGGTCCGTTCGATCAACTAACTCATTACGTCATCTTCGTCTGATAATAAGCTTGCTACGTGTGCAAGAACCAACAAAAATTTGCAGAGAAGCCTTTCGTCTTCAGCACTGGCCAATGAATAGGTACTGTATTCTGAAGGTTCAGGGTACGAGGTTGCCCTCATTTGGGACCCCAGCAGTGAATTTTAATTCTTCTTCTTTAAACATTTGCTATCGAAAGCCAATGCTGCGACATGGTGTATTTGCCTGTTTAAAGGGACACGGTGCACTAACATGCAATGCGGTCGTGTTTTAGGTTTTTCATATATGGAAGATGAGGTGACTTCGAATATCCCGGCATTTGCAATCCGTTTCCATCCATCGTTTAAAGGTCGAATCTTAAAGCATCTCCATTCATATAGGGATAAAGGGATAATAAAGAGTAAGTTTTTGCTTATATTACGATGTATTTCTATTTTCAAACATGAACAAAAGCTCGAAAGGGCTGCTGGTGGTCCATGTCCCTATTAAGTGATTCTCAGAAATTCAGAGATCTCACATGGCTAGGGAGGATTATATAGAAAGCAAATTAGGATGGGGTCCTTCTTTGGTGGAAATTTTCATCCTTAAATATGCGATTTCCAGTATGTTGAGTGATGGATTTTGACAACGATTTTTTTGTGCGTGTGTGTAGTTTATTCAGCAAAGGGGGAGTGAGAAGGAACCTTCCTGATCCTGTGCTTGCTATTTTTGTGTTACGATCCTTGACAAGGTATAATTCTTTATCTCAGAACTGTTGATTTAACAGGACATCTTTCTTAACAGGAAACAAGGAAACACTTTCATCAAGGAATATTCTCTTAAAGGAGAAATAAAGAAATAAACATATCAAGAACATTGCATTTTTTCATTAAATGGTGGTTGCAAAGTTGGTCATCCAAAAGATCAAGCGCGTCTGTCCATGAAAAGTTCTGGTTGGCAAGTGTACCAAAGGGAACCACCTCGTGAAGACCGCTGCCACTTTAATTACGACGATTCTTTCAGCCCTTTGGTTAACTTTGACAAGCATTTTGAAATTTTTACTGCAGTCATTCCATTTTGTTTGCAAGGGTACAGTTACTGTACTCCCAGTGATGTTTTCAAGTTCATGGAGAACTTTGACAAAGATATTAGTGTTTGTGTTTCAGTCAGCTCAATTCCTCTTAAGGGCAACGGGATCGATTATTTCAATTCTATGGACAATCCTGACAAGCATTTTACAAGCCTTATTTCAGTCTGCAAAATTCCTGTTAAGTGGTGAGTTTTTTGTTGCAGTTCACATGGGCGTATCACGTTTGTGGGAAACTGCGTCATGTATCGTGACGAGTCTTTTGCAGCCTTTTAATTTARTTATTTGCTCTGCATTTATCGTATTTGCAGCAATACTATATCTCCAGTTTCAACACCAGAAACTCAAGTTCCAAAAGCAGAACGAAAGGAAGTTTCACACTCCACRCTTTCTCGAAAATATTTAGCATTGAATTCTTAGAGTTTATGATTTATATTGACTCCTTTCAATATCGACAAGTATATAACTTTATATTTTTGCCAAAAAATGGATTAGAACGCGATTCATGGAAAACCACATACTATGGCACTTGTACGCAAACGAATTCTCTAAGATGAACAGATATATTTCTCACAAGAACTCGTCGGCTCCTCCTTGGATAGTGTTAGAAGTCGTCTGCACCTACTAATGTTTTGTTTGTTTGAATTTTATTTCATATTTTTTCACTTTAGGGAAACAATATAAAATTAAACAATWGGCGATCCCGCTTGGAAAAATTCCCTAAAAATGCATTTGAAATGATAAACATGGACAATTCCTTACGCAATTGTAAAACTAAACAAGGAATCTCAAGTAAGTATTCAGAGTGCACTTGGACCTTTTTAACAGTATAAAAAGAGTGTTCGATTGCACAATGTTGTTCCCATGACATCGCGCCATAAACCTTATATAAAGTTATTTGTCGATATTGAAAGGAGTCAATATGAATCTTAATAAGAAATCGTTGCTAAATATTTCGAGATTTAAGTGCGGTGTGTGTAATAACTTACCATGAAACCACTTTCTTTTTTTCTGTTTGTGGAACTCGAGTTTCTGTTGTTCAGGAAACTGTAATACTAAACAAGGGACATCAAGTAAGTTTCAGAAGCCCACTCCCGTTGAATCTTTTTAAAATAAAAAAGGAGTGTTCGTTTGTACAACAAACGAAATGCCACAATGTGGGCTTCCATACCTCTATAAACCTTTTTTGACAAAATTTACATTGATAATATAAATATTAATTTTACACAAMCATAATATTTCATGAAACTGCATTTGCCATGATAAGCATGAGACAATTAAAACTAAACAAGGAATCTGAAGCACGTTTTAAGACGTGACTTGGACCTTTTTAACAGTATAAATAAAGAGTSTTCTTGTGTGCCAGCCAGCTGTAAGTCAAAACTGGTTCCCAGCGCGAGAAATTCAGGAAAACAAGAACTTTCCAGGAAAGGAATATATTCCTACTAATTCTAAGTATTTTTTCCAGGAAAATTAAAATTTCATAACTRAAAAATAAAAGCCATTTTTGACCTTAAAAACGTTATATAAGCCTAAAAACTTTTGCCAGGAACAAAATTATTTTAAAGAAAGAAAGGGTGTGCCACATTTGCATGTGAGATTGTCACAGTTTCCCAGGACCACTCACGTCGGCTCCTGCTGACTATCCTTCACATCCTTTAGGTCGTATTAACGGTTTCTTAAATATCKCAGAAAATGATCGTCCAGAAAATTGGAGTCCTATGCCAAAGAAGAATGGAATAGAAGTGTCTGTACATCTTGTCGAGCTCGAGGAATGTTCTCACGAGTATCGAGAGGTCCTTCAAAAGTTTCAAAACACCGGTGGCAATGGGTGCATTAAGAATATAAAACGCATACAGAATCCACATTTGTACGATCTTTACATGGTCCGAAAAAGAAAAATTGACAAAGAAACTCGAAGGCAAAACAACGAGAAGAAGCTGTTTCATGGGACAAATTATAAAAACCTAGAAAAAATAAATGAAAATGGTTTCAATAGAAGCTTCTGTGGAGTACACGGTGAGTATTATATGTATATTCAAAATATGATGGATAATTATTAAGTATCATTAACTGTCCTCTTAAAAATAGACAATATGAAAAAAAAGCGTGGTTGTCGTAACAACGCCTTAGTTAAGTTGTTTAATATATCATTACTAACCGTCGAAAGAACATATTAAAATCAGCAAGGGCGGATTTTATTTATTTATTTATTTATTTTTTTGGAGAGGGGGTTTCCCTAATAAAAAAATGTCAACAAGAAAACATTGAAACGCTGAAATAACTCTCAAAACAATTTGCACATTTGACTGTCATTTTTTATTTATCATTTACACTTTCCAGTTGATGAAGAAATCCCGCCATTCTTTTAGACGGTCCCCCCTTTGAAAATTGCTGGGTCCGCCCCTTATCCAGAGTAATATCTGAAAGGTTCAATGTTTAACGTTTAGGTGTTTACAGAGTACATTACTGTTAATGTCCATTAATTATTCAATTTTGTTTATCCCCTCACCACCCAAAAAAAACAAAAGGGCGAAAAATCATACCAAACCGTTAAAATTGTATTTTCTACGCTCAGCAACGTTGTTTGGAAAAGGCGTTTACTTTGCTGGAGACGCTGGATATTCCATGAAATACAGTGATGCTACGGATAGTGGCTATAAATCTCTGTACCTCGCTCGTGTTTTGGTCGGTCAGTATACGGAGATGCAGAAGGGGAATAAAGACTTAAAAGAGCCACCGTTTAATCCACAAACACAAAGACATTATGATTCTGTTAGTGGTTACAATGGGAGAATTTTTGTCGTCTTCCACGATGCACAGTGCTATCCTGAGTATTTAATTACGTTAAAAATCTTAAAGGAAAATGGTCCACCAGCATCCAATGCCGTCGTGTTAAAAAAACAAAACAACAACAACAACAACAACAACAACAACAACAACAACAACAGAAACACATTATGTTTCAAAAACTGAATACACCGTGCTAGATATTCGCATTTTTCATACAATTGTATATGATATGAAAGGTTGAAAAACTTCCTGCCAGTGCATACTGAGTGTAGAGTGGTGTACCGAAAAAAACAACAACAAACAAACAAAGAAAAACATGCAAAATATAAAAAAAAGCTATTGCAATTTGCAACAAATTCTTTTGCTGCGATATAAGTTGGTTCGCCAAAGTTAGAAAACGTGCAGCATGGATTTGCAACTTGTTTTGAAGCAATGTTGCGAAACAAATGTAACGATTTCGTCTGTATTTCCATTACATAATAACATAAATGGAGCCCTCTAGGGGACATGTAAAACAAAATTGTCAAGTTTTTGGTCGAGATTGTTTTTTAGTTGCGTTTTTTTTTTTCGAGATTTTTGTTTCTGTAGCGTTTTTGGTCGAGTTTTGTACATCAAATCCTGAAGTCCTSGATTGTACTGCGCGCGCATGCTATATAAGATTATATCTAAAACCAAAATGACGTAGAGAAGAGAACGAGACATGCTTATTGAACAATAATTTCACCTTGGATACTCTCAAAAAGCCGAAATAGTTTGCTGTCTTCTGTTCTTACACTCAAACATTAAGTATCAGGCAGCTGAAAAGAGTACTCGCTTCGAAAGGCCTGACAAGAAAGGGCTGTTTCTCAGACCTCCGAGCGATAGTTTGTAAGTGCTATTGAACAAGAGCGTAGAGTCAGTGGAAGTGAAATTGGCTTTAGAGCTATGTGGCAGAGATTAGTGGTGGAACATGTTCTAGTGGTTAGTAAAGAAACAATAAGACATGCCCTCAGTGTTGTCGATCCTGCTGGAGTAGAACGACGTTTGCGGCATCGTTTACAAAAGGCGACAATACAACGGTCATGGTCCTATATATAATTACCTGTGGCATATAGACGGCTATGACAAGCTAAAACCATTCGCATTTTGTGTACATGGTTGTATAGACAGCTATAGTAGACGGATTATGTGGTTGGAAGCCGGGACAACGAACAATGACCCAGCTCGCCCCTTCGACGCTCGCTAGCATTCCTAAGGGTCCGCGGAGAACCATATTACAAAGAAAAATGGCTGTTATTCTACAGCAAAAGAATCGAATAGGCCGTTTGCATTATGACGTAACTTTACTACAACTACCAGAGAGCCTTGCGCATTTTCATTGTTATTCAGATTTTTAATCCCCTTGGAGATTGATAAAACAATTGGCACTAATTGCATTACAAAATAAAGTTGGCAAAGCATTCTGGTAGTTGTAGTAAATGGCGCCATAATGCATATCGCCTAATAAACAACATTTTGCCGTGCTACCCTTACCTGTAATCCAMGAGTTGAAAAGATCTTACCTGTCACGTGATCGACGTTCCTAACAAGTTTTCAAAATGGCGTCCACTGGTAATGAGCCTTTGACTTTGGCACGAGGTAATTACTACATTTTAAACCGTTATAGTGCATTATATCTTAGTATATCAAGACTGTGGATAGTATAATATCAAAAGATGGGTTTTATTTTGTTTGCTTCCTCGTTCGGCGTATTTAATGTGCAGAAAACAAGGTTTAACTTTGCGAATAACGAGTGAAGTTACACCACGGGCAACTCTTTGTCAAACKGAGGTTGATTTCGTGTCAAAATTCTTGCCATTATGATTTAGAGGCAATATTTATTCGGTTCGTTTAAAGTAATGTTAATTCTTATTTGTAGCCACATTTTGATGTCTTTGGGTATATTTTTCGATTCAGAATTTCAAAAGTTTATTCGTAAACAAATCAAATGTGACGTGACTTGGCTTTCTCTCTTTGACTGTGGTGTTAAATATTTTATTAATATTTCAGACGTAAATAGAGCGATTGAACTGCTGCAGAAGCTTCAAGCTTGTAAGTATTAATATGTAAAAATGAATATTCTCTCGAAATAATAAAATAATTCCCAGTGAGCATTGTTACGAATATAAAACTGAGCTYGGTGTCGAAGAATCATGGCCACTGCGACAGCTGTTGCCAAATTACATACGAGGTCTATATTATAAACATACAGTCCTTATGCATGCTGTTTGATGAATTGAGTGTTTGACGAGCAAGAAATGCAGTCTATAGTATAATTATTTTATATTTAATCGAAGCGAATGTTGAGAGTTTATGCTGGTATGCTCGTGTTAGTGTTTGAATGAAATAATTATAGCACAACTAAAGGTTCTGTGGTGCAGTTCTACCACTAATCTGCTAGACTTGAGCAGGTTTAATACCCAGGAAATTTGACATTTGAATGACTACCAGTGTCATTTCCTATCCAGGGCAAAAATTAACTTGAAAATAATGGCTTAAAACTTTTWACAGCAGGAGATATACCACCGAAAAAACTTCAAGCTCTGCAAAAGGTTTTGGAGAGTGAATTTTGTCAGGCAATCAGAGAGGTAAAACACAGTTGTACTTTAACTAGGAGGTAACTAGGCAACCACACCATGCWCCTGGAAACCTTTGCACAATGTTCTCATACACAAAAGACTTGCCATGTTTTATTTTGACCCGACTAGAAACTAACTTTCAGCAATAGATTTGTTTTTACAAAAAAACAAACAACGATAAGGGCTTTCAGATACAAGTGGCAGACACCACATTACAGCAAAAATCGTCGCATCCCGACTTCTTCGTTTCGAAKTTTGTTTTGATTTTGTTCTTTCCTTCGATCTAAGGGCCAGAGCTTATCGTAGACTCGTTCAGTCATTGGCTGATTTGAAGCAAGCTCCGCCCCCAAGTTGAAGAAAAAACAAAATCCTAACAGTTTCTTTTGAACATTGAAGTCGCGATGCAACGGTTTCTGCTGTAATGATTGTGTTGACATCATTTGTTTCCTTCAGTTTAGTGACATATTCTAACTTGTATAATATGTGACAAAGAAATTGAGTCGTATCTAGCTTGCAAAAACAAATCTTATTGAAGACGTTGCGATCACAACTGCAATCTTCAGTGCAGTGGCAAAATGCAAAGTGTGCACACATGACTAACGTTTTTTTACACAAACATTTTTGTTTTTCAAGCTAGAGACGACTCATTATTTTTGTCATGCACTATCCAAGCTGCAACATTAAACATTGTATAATTTGTATTTATTGATCACAGGTATATGAACATGTTTATGAAACAGTGGATATTGAGGGTAGTCCAGAACTTAGGGCCCAAGCTACAGCTAAGGTAACTAGCAGGATGTCCAGTCCTTTGAATGAATAATGCMTTGCATTTGTCTCATGTAACTACCTCGAAATGAATTACTGATGAATCTCTGTTAGGCTGCATGTGCATGCACTATATAATATAATAAAATGGTCTTCCTGTGTCCATTTATTAAGCCATGGACATGGGAGAGGTTTATTCATGAGGCAATTACAATGTTAGCTCAGATAAACTGATTTTGCCTTCAATATATTTTGTACATGGTATGATATAGGCTGTGGCTGTTGTCCTTTTTAGTTTACATACATGTATGTAATAGTGATTATTATTACAGCATCAAATAACGATAACATCAATGGTCTTTATTGAGCATAYTATTAGCTGAAAAATCTCCATTGAAACCAAGAGGAAGTCAACATCGTCATGTTTAAGTTTTGACAGCATTTTGAAAAAAAAGTTACAATTTTGAAGCATGGTTTTCAGTATTATATCTAAAGTTGCCAGTTATGACTTCACTACACACTGCAATCAACCTCTACAGAGTTTTAGTAATTATTAAAGTGCTACTTGCATGAAAATGGCCTTATTTTAAAACTTCAAGCAATACCAAGATATAAAACTCACATATATCATTAAAAACAATTGCAGGAAAATATTTGTTTTGGAATTGTCCCACATCAGAGAAATTTTGATTCAAAAGATGGAGGAACAAAAGGATTGAGTAAATGACGTCATCTACTCCAACATTTTTTGCCCAAATTATTAAGGATTTGTATCAATATCTTCTTGAAATCTGTTTCTTCATGATTATTAGACCCATATGGATAGGTCTATTTGATTTCCAAGTCTTTTCTAATCTTTCGCAATTTTCGTCCAAGTAGCCCTTTAATTATAATTTGTTTTGCCCAGTTTTAATGGTATCTTTAATTTCTCTTCAGGCCACCATTGCAGCATTTGCAGCAAGTGAAGGTCACGCCCATCCAAGAGTTGTAGAACTGCCAAAGGTAATGTTGAAACGAGATACAATTATTATATTTTTATAATTTTTCTATAATGGTCAGGGCTTCTGATGAACTGACAGATCTATGTGGATGAGGTTTTTTTTGCAATTTATTTTATTATGAACTAAAAGGTTTTATCTTTGTTTCTGAATTGTTCAATCAGCATTCTCCATGGTTGTTAAATAACCARTCATTATTTTTGACTTCAAATTGTTAATCTCTATACAGACTGATGAAGGCCTTGGCTTCAATGTTATGGGAGGCAGAGAACAAAACTCACCTATTTACATTTCACGTATCATCCCTGCTGGTGTTGCAGACAGGTATGTTTTACTGATTACATTAGTAATAGACCATTAATATGACAGTTAGAATGTTTAATATTTCTCTGTACGTAGGAGTCATATTCTAAACACTGCTTCCTCTACGTTTGTATATGTTTTATTTTCCGAGCTTTCCGAGTTAGAATGTTGTTGCTGCCCTTTGTTTCTTGATTGATTGATTAATTATTTGATTGAATGATTAATTGTGTGATTGATGGATGCATGGGCTGATTGATTGATAGATTGGTTGGTTGGCTGACTGATTGTTTTGTTTGGTTGGTTGGTTGGCTGTCTTATTGATGGATGAATGGGTTAAAGTGCTGCTTGAATGAAAATGGCCATTTTCAAAACTTCAAGCAATACAAATATATGACTCATTTATATCTATTTAAAACAATTGCAGGAATTTTTTTTTTTTTTTGAATTATCACATCAGAGAAATTTTGATTCAAAAGATGGAAGAACAAACAAAGGATGGAGTAAATGACGTCATCTACTCCAACATTTTTTGCCCAAATTATTTTGAATTTGTATCAATATCTTCTTGAAATCTGTTGCTTCACAATTATTAGACCCATATGGATACATGTAGGTCTATTTTCTTTTCAAATGTTTTGCAATTTTCATCCAAGTAGCCTTTTAATTGATTGATTGAATGATTGATTGAATGTTTGATATATTGACTATATAATATTTATGTACTTTACATGTACATTCACCTTATTAACACTACAAAATATCAATCTGCTATTTAAGGCATGGTGGTCTCAAACGAGGAGATCAATTATTATCTGTTAACGGAGTGGTAAGTATCGACATGTAATTATTTCGATCTAAATTAGTTTTGAATACTTTGTGTGATATCATGTCTTTTTCTTTCAGAGTGTTGAAGGAGAAAACCATGAAAGAGCTGTAGATCTTCTGAAAGCTGCTCAAGGTTAGCCCACATTGGATAATTAGGTTGACTAAAGGCCTGTTTTTACTTGCAATTTTTGCAGCGTGATAATCGCCACTTTGCTATCATGCAACTAAAATCATGCGTGTAAACAGCCCTGTGATTGTTAGGGCGATGGAAAATCAAAACGTTTTTGCTTGTTCTAAGTCAAAATAGCACTTACATGTAGTGTTGCCGATTCTACGTAGTAAGCGTAACAAAGGCTTTTAAGGAGATATTAGGGTCTATAATAATAAGTGTGAGGACTACAACTACCATCATGCTTTACTGCAGAAAATGGTGTCTCTGCACATTGGCTTTCTTTTGTGCATGGATATTGTATGTCTTGAAAGATGGGCTGTGATGACATTTTTTTTATCTAACCTTGTTATAGTACAGTTTGGGGATACCTTCAAAACTTTTAACATTTTTTTCTTACTGTCTTGTTTTATTTTCAGGAAAAGTACGACTGGTAGTGAAGTACACACCAAAATGTGAGTTGTATTTCAGGTTCCTTATCAAATTATTTGTATTAATTAATTGTTAAATACTTTTAAGTATTAAAATTTAATTTGTTGCTTTGTAGTGCTTGAAGAAATGGAAGCTAGATTCAACAGTCAACGTGGCTCAAAGAAAAGATAAGAAAAGAATCCCACAATGGTAATCAAACTAAGATTATTATCATAAAATAGCAATAATCAAAGCACAAAATTGTACATTGGTCATTTTAGGAACTCCATATTGATTCTTTTTTCCTGGTTTAATTTCTAGGTTTCTACACCAAGAACCAAGGAACATACATGAACCATATAGAACTACTCACTTTACAATAGCTAGGTCATAATAAATTTAAATTTCTGTGAAGTTTTTAATACTTAAAAGTATTATAAAAGTTATCTACATAATAATTACAAASCAATTAATTAAGACTAATTCACCCTTTTGTTGTATGTTCAATGTTTTGACAAATTGAAAATTATCAAAATCCACTGCGTTATAGCACCCTCCTCCACAAGCATCACTAAGAGTGATGGTCATCCTGTCTTTTTTTTTGTGAGCCAAGACGACCATTACAAAGGAAGTCCAAAGGAGGACAAAAGAGTTGCCTGGGGAGGAGACTAGCATTGTAATGAGACCCAAAACTTTCAGTTGCAGCAGTACATCATACAGCTATTTGAGGAAACACTGAAGATAGTGTATTCCAAGATYGAATTGCAGTATTGCAGTTTAAAAGGAGTTTTTATGGACCTTTCAGAGTGACAGTCAAGAAGTTCAATAAGCCTTTTTCCAGTTCAATGCAAGCGATCGCTGCTTTAGTACACAACAGACTCACTCTGGAAGAAAACAAAAGAAAGAAAGCTCTAGAAATTTGAATCTTCACCGATTTGAGGCTTGAGCTTGAACCTTCTGGGAATACAGAATTGGAGAAAAAGCAAATTTATAGGGCTGTTGTAATGACATTTTTTCGTGCTTTCTTTTTCTTTTAGTCAGGTCTTTGCGCATGAGAGACTGTTGTCAACTAAAGCAGCGGTTGCTTGCTTTGAACAGGAAAAAGGCATATTTAGAGCAATTACATGTAAATTTAGATGAATTACTATTTTGTAATGCACCTAACAAGAAGTTTAATAACAACAATGTATTGCTGTCTTGGAATATACTATCATGCCACATTCAGTATAATTTACTGCCGTATTCAACGTTTCTGAAAGAGCTGTACTGATACTGTAGCTATTTTAAAAAGGTTGTCAGATAAAATCGCWTCGTTTTCCAATGTAAACATAGTCTGACATCATAATGAAATAGGGCAATTCCCTTTCTAGACTATTCCCATTCTCACCAACTTTGTTTTTGAAAATAATAGGAGTACATGTATTCAGGATAATAATTGATTTAGTAATAGTACTGTGTACAAAACAATATCTAAAATTACTGACAATAAAACCTTTCTATATCAAATGTTGTATTATTATTTTTTTGTTCATACAGTATAGTTTATGCAAAATCTATATTTTTTTTTGTTCCTAAGATTCAAAATACACCCCTGGCCAGCTTCTACATTAAATTCAGGCTGAAATTTCTCTGGATAACGAGTACATCTTTTTCACTGATTTCTGCCCCTTTAAATACATTGTAGATGTATCAACTAAGTGGAATTGTGGTGTTTTCATTTGTACTTTTCCTATATTTTTACATTGTTTTTCTGATGTTATTCGACTGCATTTCCTTATAATTGTGACTTATTCAATTCTACCAAATTCTGACAAAGGCC